ATTCAATTAGACAAAGTAAAAAAAAATGGTATTATTGCTACAAACAAAAACCCGACGTTCGCTTGAGGAAAACACCCCTAACGGCCTACCTATACATTACAAAGATTTTTCATTTGCGTATTACTAATCTTAAACACTACGTTTCGCGTACAAAATCTCTACACTTGGTGCATTATATAAATGAGTCATATCCGCTGTAAACGAAAAAAAGTTCATACAAAAATAAATTGTTCCATTTTAGAAGCTATTTTAATACTTTTCGACAGGAGGTAATTATTTTTTTCTCTTCAAACTGTTACAAATCGTGGACGCTTTCACTGGTCGTACATAATGTTGCAGTCATAATGTATAATGCATAGTTGCCAGCTGGCGTTCAAAATATCAACGTTTTCTAATACATAAGCATTACGATATTATGTCCTTAGTGCTGAGACGACAAATAACTTTCCTATGATGTGATTCTGAAAATTTTACTCAATTAATACTTTAACTTTGATACTTATTATTTTTATCTTTCGTTATAATGTGAGGATTTCTTTCGCTTGAACACTACATCACAGAAAAAGTATCAGAAAAAACTCTACTATTAAATAATAAGAAAATTGTTTCTCTTAGATATCGTTACATTTTTAACTAATGAGTATACCTTAATTAACGATATTAATATTTTGAATTATAAAACGTTTACAAACCCTGGTATGAACGCAAATATATCTTGATAAATTCTGCATTGATAGTGCTACGTTAATCTTAGAATGAGAATCTGTATCAGAAAACGACGCTATTATACAAAATCGGATACTTCATAATTCTACGCATTTATACAATATGACTGAAACAAACACAACGTCAATTGCACCAACCGAGTATCTTCATTTAATGCATTTAACCACATACTCTCCAGTGTCCATTACTGGAGAAAAAAATTGATACAGTCCAATAAATCTATAAGGCAATTCGTAAGGGGGTTTAGCTGCTGTGGTCAGCTCTTAGACTATTTCTCGAAATTATCATGGTTATTTATCACTTTCAACAAGTACTTCTAACACAGCTCGCTCGATGCAATTCGACGTTAAATGGGAATATTTTTTACAGTGCACACATTTTGATATTGTATTTAGTACTGTAATTGTGTATTTTTTTGTATATTCATCGCTTAAGATAGCCCACTGTTTTAACCCTCTTATGGTAAAAAAAAACTTCATACGTTTTTGTTAAGTTTTGCGGTCAACTGACCAATAGAAATACAGGAATGTAATTTGAACGTACATATATAGGTGTTTTTTTAGCGTTAGAGAGTTCAGAAACGGTGGACCATCTTAGGCGCCTTTACCTTACTTATTAACGTTTTACGGTAAACAAGTGACAAATCGTAGGAATAAAAATGTGCACTATTAAAAAATATATCCCGTATAGAATTCTACAAAATTCAGGTGTTCATTATAAAAGCTTTATAACTAAATTGTTGAGATTAGTAAAAGATAATTGCATGGGAAGTATGTTTAACTGCTCTCATCGATTAGTTAACTAATTATCAATAAAATAAACAAAACAAAAATATTGCAAATCTACAACGTGGTTCGATTTAAATAAGATTTATAATAAAAAATAAAATACAACATTTTTAGCTGCCGTCGTTTAAATTCACGACTTCATGAAATATGATCGTTTTGATACTTATTAATATGGATTTTTTGGTTATGTTTGTGTGCGTGTATGTATATGTGATAGTATGAGTGTATTTATGTAAAAGCGATATTGTGATGTCGGCGTTATTGACTAGCAACAGTCACATCAGTGGATAGCAGCCCCTGAGATTCCTTACCCGCAATGGAAGTTTAAATACCATTAGCAAATTTTTAAATTAAAAAAATGCTTGATAAATCCACCAGTCTCTGGTACTCTGAGAAGAGACTCGAGCGTACGACCTTTCGCTGTCCGGGCGACTGCCCTAACCGCTGAGCTGCCCAGGACCTAAAAGGACTGATGAATTTTTCAAGCGCTTGTTACTTTTCACCACTAGTAAGCGTATTGTCGTCAATGTTTACTAACAATTTTAATAAGAAGTAAATGATTAGTTTATGTACTGAATGTATAATTTTTAGTCTATAAGTCATTTTTTACCTTATATTAATTAATAAAGTAAACGACAAAGAATGTTTTAAACAAAAATGTCAGTAGAAGGAATGTCCTGTAGAATAGAAAGAAAGAGAAGGGTATGTTTTATTTCAACTTAACTATTGTGGGTAATGCATATTTAAACTTCAAACGCCTCTCGTGATTTTTTGGGTCTCTAATTCGTTGTAATAAGACTAAAGACACGAAATATGAGCTACGAACATGTACTAATCAGACTTTATACACCCGCGGTTCTAGAAAAGTACAAAAAGACATCACTCCCCCTCACCTCCCTCCACTATCCCCTCTCTTAACCATCCACGATATTCCCTGACAATGACTTACATATAAAACTTACGTAGCCAAACATCACAAAGTATATGCGTGTATCTGTATATTACGTTACATGCAGGAGCATCGTGAAATTTGTTCGACAGAAAATAATATGAACAAAATTGACACGATATTAACTAAACGGACAATATATGCAATTAAAAACCCTAATACATAGATATAGAGTTCAAAATTGTCTGCGTTAATGTGGTGCTGCTATACGTACATATTTGACGATGTTCCTGTGATAGAATAACTTGAAGCGATACAACTATGGAGTGGGCGTGACCGATCGTGTACAGAGAAAAAGCATCGAACAGCGAAACGTGGCTGGTTCGAGTCGTCTGTCAAGAGATGGCGCTAATTTCTTATTTATGATAAAAATTGTATATGTTTTTATTAGATGTTATTGATTACTGGCGAAAACCAGCGGCTTTACCTGCGTGGTCCTCTATTGTACATAAAAACCTTCCTTTTCGATCACCCTATCTATTATATAAATTCGTTGCGCAGTTTTAAAGATCTAACTAAAACATACATAAGGACAGACAGATGGAAAGTGATTTTGTTTTATAATAGGTATCGATTGATGTTTAGAGCATATATATGCTTATCATATGATAATGAACTTTGGATTAGGTTATTTCAAACATCAAAGTTAATATCTTCCACAATACCTTTGTTTGTCTAAATCAATTTTTTTATGACCAGATAACTAAAATAAGTAATACTTTATAAGCGCAAGACTTCTGACTAAAAACTGGACATTTAGACATCATAATTCCAAATCATAAAATTACCAATGCTAGCGCCATCTCTTGACAGTCGAAGTGAATACAACCCACACGTTTGCATCTAAAGATGTCTCTGCATACTCCTTGTTACACGCCAGAATTCGATATTAATAAACTCTATAAAACACTATTTACTTAAAAAAAAACCTTTTAAAAATTACACTACCACTTACAGGGAACTTATCTAAATAATATGATATAGAAAATCGCTCTTATTTTATATTACTAATAGAGATGCGGTAAGAAGCCAATTTTTTGGTTTTATTATCGTGATAATTATTTCTTTTTTTTGGCGTTGCATCAACGCCTAATTACACTAGACAATGGGATTACATAATATTGGCTGGAATTGAACAGATTCCTCCGGGGATATTGTACTCGAATAACTTTGGGAATCTGTACTATTCGTCGTTAAACTATCTCGTCTACAATTCGCTGCCCTTCAGCTAGAGATTATCTAGTGAACATCAGATTCACACCAATCATTTACGATTACGTCTAAGATACAGCTTTTATAATATATGTCATATAACACTCTTCATAAGACAGTTAGTCTTTTAATTATTATCACTTTTATTCACCCATACAATCTTGTTGTCTCAATTTATTATGTAAAATCCTCGTATCCAATATCAACTTACACATACATTGGAATTCATCATAAAAGGGAAATCATTACGGATCTTAAGAAAAACGTAAATATCTTACATTTAGATATGAATCTATAAAAGTGTGGATGCCAAAATAGCCTTTCACGCAGTCATTTATCTCTTATAACTGACAGTAGCGTAAAAATTACAATTTAAATAGTTTGTTTTTTAAAAATTCATTGAGTAATATAGCGAATACAGAATTTGTAAATAGGCCGCGACATTGGAAACGTATAAGTTGCGTATTGTCCTTTAATTTTAACGAATTATTCACAGTTTGATATATACTTTCGCAGTTTCAAAATAAACTTATTTGAAATGTAAATACTACATAATATAGGTCTGAGCAAACATTGGTAAGAATATTATAAAAACAATGAAAATCTAACTAGCTGGATTTGTTCTATACTTTAATTCTAACTTTGGCTAAAATGTCTTTACATAGCCAGCCGTTTCAAGTTATGATAACGTATTTGAGCTTGTTAATTATAATTTTTAAACCTAACAGTTCAATTACCGATATTGATAATAAAACGTGTTTTTAAAGTGATTAATTGGATAGATTTGAAATGTATAATAATGTCTATTAGACAACTTTTTTGTTCAGTCAGATCCTAAAATAACTAGCTAACACTTAACAGTGCTACTTATAAACAAGGTTTAGCGTTAGAGTAAATTTACGCTGAGACTGCTCTTTGTATTAGTCAAAATTCATATTATTAAACAGAGACTTAACAAAGATTATAGGCTAGTACGAGGTTCTACGAGAGTTATATTTGCTCCTAGAATGTAGTAGATTTGCATATTCTCTTTGTAATATGAATATAGACTAATACTAAAATTGTAATTTTAGCGCAAATTTACTCTGACGCTAAACATTGTTTATAAGTAGCACTGATAGTGTTTAAAATTAACATGTATTTATTTGCGAGTGTTATTTCAAGAATTTTCTTGTGATAACGTAGTAAACTCAAGGTTAACGTTGGTTCTTCCCAATTTAAGTTGGTATGACATGACAATAGCAGAACAATGACGTGTTATGAATCAGATGCTCACAAGACCGAATTTCGCTTAGCAAGTTCCATCTAAAATTCTGATATGACAATTTTTATATTCAATGAGATTTAACGGTCATATTAGTGATGGATGCTTACTGGTGTTCTGTCGCTCAGCAGGGTTGATTGGCTCTCGGTAGGGGGCGAACTAGGTACAGTTTCTCTCCCTGCTTGTTGGTGTATATAGGTGCGCGTTGATAATGAGCTACCAGTTGTTCTAGAGTGGGGAATTTGCGTTGACCGATGCAGTATAGGGAGCCTTCGACGTGAACGCGGAAGTGCTTGTTGCGACCCGGCGCCTTCAGTGATACGGAGTAATCGCCCACCTGTATAAAAAAGGGGGCGATAGAATTTTTGGTAAACAGGGATTTTTTTATTAGACGTATGAAGAAGTGTCCGTGTGATGTGTGTGTAGTGTATATATGAGCGGTCCTGTATATGTGTAACACTCACGTTGGTCTCCGAGTCTCGTATGAAGAAGTGTCCGTGTGATGTGTGTAGTGTATATATGAGCGGTGCTGTATCTGTGTAGCACTCACGTTGGTCTCCGAGTCTCGTATGAGGAAGTCCCCGTCGTGTCCGTGTTGGTTGAGGAGGGCGTCGCAGTGCGTCCGCGTGATGGCTCCGTAGTACCACGCTCTACCGCTCAGACCCGCCCCGCTAGCTGGTGCTCCACCTCCACCAGATTCACTGATGGAAACGATTACATAGGTCTACTGTGATTTTGATGCCGCCAAAATTATAACTGATTTTTAATAGATTGAATGCATAAAAAAAAATCAGCATTTAGTTGGGTTATTTTGCAGGTAGGAAGCTACTTTTCCTACATTGTTAACGACGTGCATTTGCAGCACAATGTGCGATTCTTTTAGCTTTACTTTTTCAGATCCCAGAATTACGTAACGCCATCTCTTTTGGACACCCTTCATTAATGATATGACTTATATGACCAAATATAGATAGACATATCATTGAAAGTTTATGGCGATATGATCAGTTTTAGGGGGCAATTTTATGAAAATCGACCATTTACGAAATGGCCGGCCGCATCATGATGTGATCAATTCTATGATCTGGCAACTCAGTACTCAGTTCGAAGGTCTGATGCTTACACATTGTAGCACATTTTAAAGCTGCTTTAATAGTTTAAAAATAGCGGTAACTTGTTTAATTAATTGAAATGTGACGTTACACTCCGTCATGGCTGCCTACTTTTCAGTTCTTTTAATTCATAGAAAAATAAAATATACTTACAATTCATTTTAAACAAAATTTACTACATAGTTATTTTTCACATATAAGTTAGCATTTTTAACATATTCATAATTTATTATTACAACTGCCAAGCAGCCTGTGTATTAATATGTGCAGTGTTATAATATCTTTGACCTTACTAATTTACTAGCCGACGCCCCTCCGTAGACTACCCAAGCAGCAAAATTATCCTAGAGTGCAGATGTTATAGGCCTTTTCACCACTTATAACTCTCTTAACGGTCATTGCAAGCTTAGAGTTAGTTGGGCCTTGTGTATTACCTGTAGGGTTGCGTTAGGTAGTCCGCGAGCTCCTGCAAATAGTTCCGCGGCACGAGGCCCACGTTGCCGCGGGAGTCGCGCGCCCGGTACCACTCCGGGTCCGAGGGGGGCCGCTCCACTATCTCCAGACGATCGCCCTTCTCGAAAGACAACTCCTGCTCGTTGTTAGACGTGAACGAATAGAGAGCCACCTGCACCACAATACAAATATATCATATGATTGAAATATACATATAAATATTTTATTATTATTACATTCACAATGCTATACTAAAAAATATTCTTAATGAAATATGCTTAAACAAAACGACTTGCCCCAAGTAATCTGAGATGGAACTCGAACCCACGACTAAGCTCTGAAGATATATAAAAATAATAATATGAAGAGAAGAAATAGTGATACATTTTTTTGCTAAAATTTACTAAGAAATTACTTAGATAATAGGCATTGAAGTTGAGTTGGGACTCGCTTCCTCACTACTATGTAGAAAAAGTACAAAGGCGTGACGTCATACTACATTTCAACTCATTGAATCGCCATGATTTATTGATTACGAAAAATTAATACGTATTTAATATTCTTCTATAAGACGGTCAAAAATCATCAACATCCACCTATTTCGCGCGCTATAAGTAACCCACGTCCACCTCATATAGCCCATTTCGCTAGTTGCTTGTTGCTTTTGGTATGTAATAATAATTTTAGTTTTTATACCTTACAAGCTTTGTTTTAGTCTTCTTTGTCCGTATCGGTTTCATATTGGCGCTACTTTTTTTTATAAATATCGGTATCGTATCGGTCGTGTGTATAGATGCATCCTTAATATGTATAAATAATTATCAGACCGAAAGTTTAATGAAAACACTAGTCCCAGGTTCTTGAAAAGTGTATTAAGACAATAATCAGCAGTAATGTTGAGCCTAAATAATACTGACTATTGGAAACTGAAATTTCGCTAGTGATAATAGTTATACGCACCACAATATCCAAGACATTTTCCGCCATTGCATAAGTGTGAACTGGGTCCTCATTGTCTCCTTCTTCGCTGGTGTAATTAGATGGAAACCTGCACGCAATAGAATATATATTTTTTTTAATTAGACAAACTTCCAAAAGTCATATCAAGAGAAACAACTGAAAATAGAGAAATAATACCACAAAAAACTATCTTAATTAAAATTGTAACACAAAAAGTGGATACCCCAACAATTTTTTTGAGGTCGGTATCAGATATTCTACTCTTTTATAATTATAATATCATTAGATTTTGTTGTAATCCTGGCCATATAGATTTCTAGTAATGTAAAAATATATTTAAAATAGTGTACTCACACATCATAAGTAAAGTTAAAGATAAATAACGTAAAACCAAAATCGCGCTTAACCACAATCAACCTGTATCATTAAAAGAATACTAACATTATCATAGAGTCAGTTCCATCTCCATTAAACATAATAATTAAGGAGTTCAATTAAACTTCCTGTATGGAGACTTGGCAAGCATTTGTTAGAACTGGTCACGTTAATGTGGTGAAATGTATTGCCATTGCTAAGCAATATATAAAATCATCATGGACTTTAGTATTTAACTGTAGAAGTAATTTTATTTGATCTATAGCCCAAATGAAAAATAACAAACCAATGGGTGCACCTTCAATAATGTACATACATTGTCAAGTGTATACTATTGAAGTTGATGATTATGTTGATGACCCATGATCTTGGTCTTTAGAGTTATTTTGTGGAGCAGACATTCATTAGGAAGGATTTTTTTTAATTCAACCTCTAAAAGATTCTCGTCATAGCAGAGGTTTGACGTTTATATGAAAGTCTGTCAGTTTTGAAGTTAAGTATTAATTTGAAAATTTCCGTGTATAACGGAACAAGTCCATATTGAAAAAAAAAAAACTTTATTATTACTGAGAACTATCAAATGGATTTTTGCGTGCAGCTGCTAGAGCGTTGGGAGAGTTGTTTTATTTAAAAACTCACAAGACATCAGTTTTCTTAGAACCCCCACAAACTTTCGGGGACAATCGCATATCGTACAGTTACGCCTGCATCCTACGCAAGTTGCGCTAACTGTGTTATGTATATTTAATAAATACACATGTTTTAAAATAGTTTCCAGAGATAATAATGACTGCTCAACAGCAAAGATGAGCTTTATATCTCGAAAAATAAGTCAGTACAAATCTCACCATCCCGTGTGACCCTGGTACTGTCCCCGCCACCAGCCATCGTTGCTCTTCTCGAGTATCAATATGCGCGTGCCTTTAGTTAGCGACAACTCGTCGGGCTGTTGCGCTTGGTAATTATACTTCACTACAGCCGTGCCCAAAGCTTCAGTGGGCTCCACGCGCCTTGCGCCTGGTGAATCCGCCCCACCGCCCCGCACAGGCGATGAGTTCGACGGTAGCGTTTTCGAGCCGGATCCCTTTTTCACTTTCTTTTTAATACTGTAAATAAAATATATTATGAATCTTACATCCTATTTATATGAAAGATTCTTTGTTTGGATGTTTGTCCGTCAATCACGCCGAAATTACTGAACGGATTTTGAAAAAATTTGGTGTATAGATCAGCTGACTTAGATAATAGGATACTTTTTATCCCACTGAACATTTCCCTCGGGACCACGCGGGCGAAGCCGCTGGTGAAAGCTAGTGTGAGAATAATAAGAATCCTTTATTTGCAAGAATGTGGAATAAATATGATTAAAAATATTTAATTGAACAAAACCTAGACTAAATTCAGTATGATTTGTCACTAAGTTCAGTATGATAACATCCTAAAATGAAGAAACAATAAAAAGTTCTTCAATCTAGACTGTTAACATTCATTGGGTTCATAAAACCTATGGTAAGAGATAGACATAGGCGTAACTATTCATGACTGTCGCTGTTGCCCCAGAAAACGAAAAAGAAGCCGAACTCACTTTGCTTCCAAATCACACTCATAAATTCATTTGGCTTATAAAAGGAATATGTTCCAAAAAATATTTATAATATCATAAATGCGAAAATATGTGAGGATGGATGTATGTTTGTTACTCTTTCATGAAAAAAACTACTTAAAGGATTTGGGTGAAATTTGATTTACGTATAATTCTCAGCCTGGATTAACATAAACGCTACTATTTATCCCACAAAACAACTGCCTAGGGACGACGTGGGCAAAACCGCTGGCGGAAAGCTAGAATTTCATAAAAAAAATCAGTACATTTAGCACAGTGGCAAAAATATTATAGATTACAAACTTTTTCTTATCTTTTTAATGGACAATCACATGATAATGATTATTTTAATTATAAAAGTAACCGAAAGTTTATTCAGTCTAATTGGGATTGTGCTAAAAACATAGTTTTTCTTTTAAGTGCTTATTTCCATTTATAATTGCTTATTACATGTTTGTTCTTATATAACTTTTACATGCTACGGATATTTTGTGACTGAACTCTGTCTTATAATAAAATTATATAGTACAGACTTTACTTGGTTTAATTTGGAAATTGAAAATGACAAGTGATTTTATATTGAGGTGTGTTGACCTGTTTTGGCTGAATAAACCTAGTACTAAAGTTAGTCCTTGTTTAAAATAAGAGAGTAAAACTAAGATACTTCACTAACATGAATGTAATGGATCATTGGTGCCATTGAAAAAAATATCTTTATTTGTAATTTACTTAGTCTTTCTATCTGTCATATTTACACCAATCCTAACAGAACAATCAGGCCCTATATTTCAACACTATATATTATTTAATAATAGCATTTTTTATTTATTTAAAATGCATTTCCAATATCAGATATTTGAACCATGAATAAAAAAACAATACAAATATTAAATGATAAAGTATACTAGTACAAGTGATTTACTTAATAATTAAAAAATTATGAAACTGGTATTGACATTGGTTAATTTTTCAAAAAAAAATTGTATAAGACTAATATCTAAAACAATAATGCAATTTTTTTTTAAACTTTGTTAAATATTCAGTAGGTGTAGTAATGATGTTACCAAAGAAATAATATTCTGTTTGATTGTCATATCACTTGTTTCTCTAAATGGAGATATAAGAAAGGTCCTATAAAATTTTCATCTTCACAATCAATGAAACATTTTACAAAGAAAAAAGTGGGTGGATCCTATGCAACTGGGAGGGCGGGTTCCCTACATAAAGAGATGTAAAGGGGGGTGGAAAGCAGCAAACAAAAAAAAGCTTTAAATATATTTTTGTATTTATTGAAAAAGTAAAGTAAAATATTATATAAACCTGCTCTAGATAAAGGAAAATATATAACAAAATCCTGGAAGTTTATGACTCATACAGAACAACAAGCAAAATGAACACAATGTTTTTTTTTCAGAGTAGCATAGAGGAACTAATGAATAATAGAAATCACGACACTATTTTATCTGGTTGTTATTTGAATTGGAATTTGAGCTGTAACTTCACATTAATTCTGCTTGTAAGTTACATTCCACAAGTGTTAATAACATAATAATGATGAGATGAGAAGTGTGTTAATTACTTAATAGTCAACTGTGATAATGAGATACTTATTTCAATGATGTCTCGCCACATAATTTTACTTGATATATTAAAATAATATATATTAAAGTCACTTTTTCTTTTACCAAGTTTTTATTAAAAACTTTGCATTAATAATCGATTCTAAGTTTAATATTAGAATTCAAAGTGATAGTTTTTATTGTTAAAGCAAAAGAAAAAGTGACTTTATATTGAATTATTAAAGATTTAAAGAAAAAAATATCAACAGTTAAATTTTTATATATTAGATAAACATTCAAATGCAAAATTTTAAATTATTTTGTTTTAACAAAATATCATAAATGACTTATTTACCTGTCAAACAATGAAGGTTTTTCCTTCTTCACATAGTTACTGGGAACATATCCAGATTGACTACGAGCATTTTGGACTCTCCACCAGTGCTTTGAGTCATCAAGCAAGAGGTAACGTTCATTTTTGCGAAGGTCCAGCTCCTGAGCACCTTGAGCAGCATAGTCATATTTTGCTACCACATAACAAACATCATCCTAAAACAGACAGGTGTATACAAGGCAGGTGAAACTGGCTTTTTCTTATGAGATTCTTACCCTGATATTACAGTATAAAATTTACCTGCGCATTTTTCCCATGCCTCGTGTTGGCCATGGCGTGTGGCGCCGGCAGTGGCTTATTAGCCCACACCGAATCTGCGGCGCGCACAGACCGCGTCTCCAACATGACACCCTGGGCGGCCTCCAGCCGTACTTACTGGTACATCGCGCTCCTACACTGCACCACTACTCCAACACTGCCAATCGATTGTTCTTTAGGCGACGATGTAACAACACTCACTGTATACTAAACCGTGCGAAAATTCGATCAGAAAGCAAAACGATCAGCGAAAGGGGACCTGCATTAGGACAAGGTTGAAATTATAAAAAGTTTGAATCTGCGATCCGTATAAAACACTATTAAGTAACTTTATCAACAACTGCAAATCTAGTTTTATTACAGTACTCTCTCGTCGTAATATAAAAAGACTTTTTCTAATAAAATTTCACATAGATCGGTGGGGCAGCGATTAATCAATAGACAAGTTTTTTTCTTTATCGTCTTATATAAAAAAAAAGTCTTGTCAATGGGTTTGTGAATTACATGGACGTAGTACTTTAGAACAGGACAGGGCACTTCCATCTGAAAAGCCCAGCGAAATATCAAGTACAGGGGTTACTTGTCTCTTTCAAATAGGGTGACAATAACATGTTTGTTAAGTGAGACTTTTCATGTGCTTCAGTTCTTTAACTACTGCGGCTATTATCGTATACAAAATCATGTAAAACTTTGTTTCAATAAATATATTTTTATTATTTATTTCAGATTTTTTTTGTGGCTCTTCATGCAATCCGATCTCGTTGAGAGATATCGCACGAATCGTCTATCCAAATAAAAAGGATGGAAAATCGCAAGTGTTTATTAGTGTTTATCTATATATTCAGGAGATTAACAATTTGTCAATATCAGTCACAAAACTCGTCGACATCGAATTAAAAACTGTTACTAGAGTTTGGCAAGCGAAACGTGACACCACCTATTTTTCCGTTTTCATATGGCAACAACATAGAACTGTCAGTTTGACACTACGTTAGACAATTCAAGAATATTGAATTTTGTTGTTTTTGCGAATTTGAACTTGTGTTTTTGGTTAAAAATTATGTCGAAGCCGATAAAAAGTTCATCGAGGAAACTTCTTTCCATCATGATTGACAAGTTTACTGAAGTGAAAACTGAATTAAATAAAAATTTCATGGAGAAATTATAACGATTAGATAAAGTTGTATCTTTTTTAGGTTAGTTTTGTATTATAATTTTGATACTTTCGTTTTAATTTTCTGTAATTAACTAAACAGATATTTTTTATAAAATATTGCTCTATTTCAGATAACTGTGATGGTGATATTCAACCAATAATGGAGGAGATAAATGCAATAAAAACTTTAGAAAAACAAGAAATGCTGAATTCGGAAACGCAGTACTTACAAAAAATTTCTTCAATGACAGGTCTCTTTTCTTGTTTTGATTGAAAATAGATTGATAGTATTCCTATAATATTTACATAGGTTTTTTATGATGTATTGGTTTTTATTGTTGACATCCAATGATGTCATAAGAATGTTTTGTGTAACAAGGAAATTCACAGAATTCATGAAACTAATCAAACCATGTAATTGTTATACATGCTAAATATGCACATAAACTTAACTAAATTAAACATAAATTGCATTCATAGTTGAATAGGTATTTAAATTATTTTGATGTATGTGTCTATCATTATTTGCTTTTAAATACATTTAACATATCTTTGTTTCAAAGTGTTTAATCTTTTATAGATGTAAGTATAAGGACACTAAGAAGGATAAAAAATGAAGCATTAATTAATAAAGGAAAATGGGACACTCCTGGGAAAAAACGACCTCATCAACCAACAGTGTCTGCTTTAGATAATTTTGATTTAAGTGCAATTCGGAATAAAGTAAATGAATTTTACTGTGTGAAAAAAATTGTTCCAACATTAAGAAGCCTTCACAATGAATTAAAAGATGCAATAGGATTCAGTGGTAGCCGTGAGACTTTACGAAACATTATGCTTAAGAATGGATTTTCTTTTAAAAGCAATGAAAATGAACGTTCTATGCTTATAGAAAAATACCAGATTTCTGCATGGAGGCACAAGTATTTGAGAGAAATAAATATAAAACGAAACGAAGGAAAGCAAATTGTGTACCTTGATGAAACTTATGTACATCAGAATTATAAAGTTAAAAAGTCTTGGCAAGGACCTTCAACAACTGGTGTCACTACAAAGATATCCTCTGGAAAACGGCATATTGTTGTGCATGCTGGATCTGAGGAAGATTTTGTGCCTGGTGCATTATTAGTGTTCAGTAGTAAATCCAAATCTGCTGATTATCATGATGATATGAACTCATCGAACTTTATGAAATGGGTCAGAGAAAAATTAATACCAAATTTAAGTAAGCCCAGTGTAATTGTTATGGATAATGCCAGCTACCATATAAAACAAATCAATAAACCGCCTATAATGTCTAATACCAAAGCAGATATCCGTAAATGGCTTGTAAATAATGGAATACATTTTGAGGAATATCAGACAAAGGCAGAGTTAATGTGTTTGGTTAATGATAAGAAAACATTGCCTGTATATGAAGCTGAAGAGATTTTAAAAGAACATAATCATGAACTTTTATTGCTGCCACCGTATCATTGTGACTTAAACCCAATAGAGATGGTTTGGAGTCAAGCAAAAAGAAAAATTGCAAGCAGAAACATTGGAATACCAGGAAAGGAAATGGAAAACTTAATAATAGAGTGTTTTAACTTAATTACCCCTAGTGACTGGAAGAAATACACTGATCATGTTTTAAATGTCGAAAATGATTACAAATTAAAAGATGGCATTGTTGAAAACGAACTTGAAAAATTTATTATATCTGTTGGTGCAGACAGTAGTGAAGAGAGTGACTCTGATGATTCCTTGTCATTGTTATCAGGTGTAGAATATTTAGAAACAGATTTTGACTATGAATCAGACTAAAGTATTTTTAGTCTGATTCATAGTCAAAATCTTATCTTAAATTTTCTATTGTGATTAACATGATGATTTTGTGACACCTGTATTATGTAATTTATCCATGGCACTTAATTGTAACAAAAATAAATGTTTTTTTTATTGTAATCTGGTGTTTATATTGACTAATTTAATTTGATAGATAGTGGTTCTGGATCAGAGCAAAAGGTTGTGATGAAAATCCCTTAGGAGACATGTATGTGTTATGAACACATTATAAATATAAGGGCCAGAAATCAAAATTGGCTAACATCACATTTATTAAAAAAATGTGGCCAGAGTCGCCCATATTCATTACAAAAAAACAAAGAAGTCGTTGCAAAAAACACCCTTTTAATTAATGACAAATATGAATTTTTAATATTATAAGTGCTGTTAGCCAATAGGTATAACGAATGGGTTAAAAAAAAGATTCGATTTAGTCCGTCAGTCAGATAATAGAAAAATATTGGATACGTATTTTTTTTCGCTTTAATTTAACAACAAATGGCTTAAGAGGTACTATGCGACGACTTCAAATATGCTTTGCAACAATGTTACTTTAATACAGTTTATCGATACGAAATCAAGTGTCAAAATGGAGTCCAGTGGAGAATGCCGATATTGACATTTCGAAATTGCTCATCATTGATAGAGAATACGAAATAGTGATTTTGACACAATCAAAGTGTCTATTTTTTACGGTGATGACGATTCTTGGTTGTCAGTTGAGTTAGTGAATAGGCCTACTGATATGCTGTTAACTGTACAATTAAGAACAGTCACGCTTTAGTCAAATGTTCCAAAACAAATAATTTTAATTGATATCTAAATGTTAAGATTAAATATAATTAATAAAAGTATCAAAATTATTTTGCAGTACTACATTCAGTGTTTACTGCTTAAGAATTTTTGAAATTGCCGCCCTTTTCTTGTGACACGTTTCGCTTGCCAGACTCTAGTGGTCTACCATATCGCTTCACTTGTGTGGTATTACCAATTATGGCACTTTCCCCCTTAAGGTGTAGTGGTTAGCGTATTTGATCTGCTATTGCGAAGGTTAAGCGACGATCGCAATGTACGATAGTAAGATGGGTCAAATTTTTTTTGAAAGAATTAAAATGACAGTACAGATTATTGAATAGATTGATTTTATTTTATTTATAGACAGTAAGAATACCGGTGCTTTAGGCCCGCCAATCTGCATTGAGACCTCTACGTGAGGCTAGTTAGTAATGTTGGGTGAATCGGTTTCATCCATTAAGTATCTATGTATTAACACTACACACGGGCCGGATTGGCCCGAAGTTGAAGTAGTTAGCGTGTTTTATCTGGGAATCCATTTTTTTACATGTTACTAAATCAGTGTGCATGGCGCATACGATTAGAGAAGTAAAGTTGCCTTATACCGCAATGCCTCTCCTCTCACAACGCTCAGCCAAAGAAAAAAAATATTGGTCACCCATTCCATTTCAAGCCTTTGCGAACGTCGCTTTACTTTCGCAATCGCAGATCAACGGCGTTAACCATTTGTACATGTGCACGTAAATCGTAACATACACACACCTTACTACATAAATACAAATATATTGAACGAGGAAGTATTTAAAAGAAGAAAGCACTAAAAAGCACCGGACTAAATGGTGACTCTAGCAAAAGTTGATTTTTGCAGGAAACGACCAAAGATAGTTATTTCCGTTCCTTTTAACTATCATATTAAAAAACTCAAATTTGCAAAGTTCGAAACTTAAACATCAATATAAATAAGAAAAAGTACAACTAGAAAATGACTTGTTTATTGAGTTTTGAAAATTGTTCGGAATAAACCGATACGTAGGGAGCGATTTATCAAAAATTAAATTAATCCTTCCAATCTCGAACGTCGCTTTACTTTCGCAATCGCAGATCAACGGCCTTAACCACTTGTACATGTGCACGCAAATCGTAACATACACACACCTTATTACATAAATACAAATATATTGAACGAGGAAGTATTTAAAAAAAGAAAGCTCTAAAAAGCATCGGACTAAATGGTGACTCTAGCAAAAGTTGATTTTTGCAGGAAACGACCAAAGATAGTTATTTCCGTTCCTTTTAACTATCATATTAAAAAACTCAAATTTGCAAAGTTCGAAACTTAAACATCAATATAAATAAGAAAAAGTACAACTAGAATATGACTTGTTTATTGAGTTTTGAAAATTGTTTATACATTTATTTATTTTTATACATGAAAGAAAATCGGGAAGGTTGTCATGCAAAAATCAAGAAAGTAATCTAGATTGATTTCGGGAACTAATATTATTTCAATACTTCCTCATTTAAAAAATGTTCTACTACGATCTATGATATTATGAATCTTTAATAAGTCTGTCGAATTGTATCACGCTCCATTGGTACGATGGAATTTAAATGTGTTTTAAATTGTTAAATACCATATCTGTTAACATGATGTTTAACAATTTAAATTTTATGTTATTTAACAATCTAAAAACCACCAAAGTAATTAATATATATTCTCATTT